AAAATATCTTAATAATAAATAAAACATGAATATTTTAGACCCCCCTCCTCCTGCCTGGACAGCCGTTCGTAGACTCTTGCCGAACCAGTGCTGAGATTTGTCATTATCATTGAAAGATTTCACACGATATTAATAAAATATGTTTGCCATCGTCATTGCAGTTAATATACTTGTTCACTTTAACGGCACCATGGATTTGTTTTGCTCAATTTATTTTATTTCGCTAAAAAAATTCAACAAGGTAATAACCAAAACTGCACATGTTCATCACTGACTTTATTGTCACTGACAATTGATATGATATCCCTTGGGTTTTAGGACAAAAGGTCGAATGGACAAAAGCTCGAACGGACAAGAGGTTGAATGGGCAAAATGTTGAAATGGACAACAAGTTAAAACGGACAAAAGGTTGAATGGAAAAAAAGGTCTAAAGAAATTGAAAGAGATAAAAGGATGGATGCTTAATAGGTTCAAATAGACAAATGGTGAACAGGTGAATTCAAATTTAGTGGATAAACAAATAAAAAAGAATTAAAGATTGGAAAGGCAATAAGCTGATCACAGCAAGTAAATCAAGCATAGGCTTTAAGTAACCTAACTGAAATACTCGAAAGTGATTTCTCTTTCTTGGAGTAAACTCTTTGTTTATAACATGAACTGCACATGGCAGATAAAATCTATTGACCGTCCATTTCGGACTTTTGTCCATTCGACCTTTTGTCCATTTGACCTTTTTGTTCATTCAACCTTTTGTCCATGCTACCTTTGGCCGTTAGACCTTTCAATTAGATTGTCCATTTCAGACATTGCCCATTTAAACAACAGATGTCCATTTCAATCTTTTATGCACTCAGCCTTTTGCCCATGCTGACCGTTTGTTCGTTCATCCTTTTGTCTCATTACATTCCGTTCGACATTTTTTCATTCAATATTTGTTCATTCGACCTTTTGTCCCATTAATTTCCAAGCGACATTTTGTTCATTCGATCATTGTTTTTTACATTTCGACCTTATGTCTATTCGGCATTTTGTCCATGTCGACCTTTTGTATATTTTGACCTTGTGTTCATTTGACCTTTTGTCCTTCGACCTGTTGACATTCTACCTTTTGTCCATTCACTCTTTTTTTCTTCTACCTTTTGTCTTTAGAACTTTTGTCCTTCGGCCTTTTGTCCTTCGAACACGGAAACAAATCCGATTCCATTTTCATGAATAAAAAATCATGAAATGGAAAAACTTGCCATCCCATGAAATCGTAATGATTTATGATTTCGTCATGGAAATTCATGACTTCATAATGCAGTGGAATCAAGACCGCTACAAGCGTTACACGTACTTGGCAAACCGTGTTCATAAACCGCACTACATAGGTATCTCTTATACGCCTTTTGTCTTCCATCTTATACAATTACTGATAGTCTAGTGGTCAAAGTATGGGTTTAGTGATCTCAAGGTTCTTTGTTCGAATCCAGTCTGATTACAATTTTTGGTTAACAGTTAAACCCATGAATATTTAGCTCATGATTTCAACTCGGATGATTCATGATTTTGGGAATGTTTGCTGCGTTACGCAAAAGTTACTCATGATATCATGAATATTATTCATGGTGTATTTTCAGAACATGAAAATACGCTGTGTTCATGAAATCATGAGTCATTTTTCTCATTAAAGCGATTGGATTTTTTCCCGTGAAGTTTTGTCTTTAGACCTTTTGTCATAGATTCATTTGACTCACGCCTAGCTATTTAAAAGGGCATAATCTTTTTTTTCAATAAATTTTAGCACCAAAACGGCTCTTCCAATCGAAATGACGTCAGAGACAAAATTGTAGGAAATTGGAATGCGTATTCTGAACAAAATACATCTCAAATTCTGGTAAAAAAATAAAAATAAAGATTGTATGACTTTAATAACAAAAAAAAACCGCATTTTGCGAGTTTTGATTTGTTGAAGAATATCAATTCCGTCATTTTACATATTTTTAAACGATTAGGCGTAAATTAAACGCTTGGCTGAATTCCAGCACAAATTCTTCTTCTTTCGGCTTTAACGCTTCTTTAGCGAACGTTTTGCTGGCTCTCAATATATGATCTACCCATGAAGCATGCTATTCAAGGACTATCAGGTCAACTTCGACCTAATCCTTGCATTTCTGCCGAATAGTACCAACATATCAAATGCAGCCAGAGATATTTCACTGCCAGGTTGTGCCTTAAGAGATTCACTGGATTCGGTGTCTTCAATGAAAACTGAATCGCATTCTGGAACCTTGTTCCGTTTTTGTAGCTGAGCTAGCAGCAAACAATTTAATTTTGGAGATAATTTCCAACATGCTCGTAGTTAATTATTCATCTTCGCGGATAGTCTCAGTTCGATTGAGGCTTTTCGGTCATTGAAACCTCGTGGAGGCTGTTGAGTTCAATTCGGTTTAATGGTTGTCGAAATACACTTCTCACATGTTTTATAATTTGTCATACCTGCACTGACAAAAAAAAACTTAGCATACCTAGCTTAACTTGCTTAATTAGCCAATGTCTTCTTTATCTTTATTCGCAGCAGGGAAAACCCATTTGAGTAGAACTTACTGTAAAGCTTTTATTTCAAATGAGCATAAAACCTCTTCATCTTTTAGCATTGACAGATTACAATTGAAATGATAAAATTTTTCTTAAAATTTCGCACCAACAATGTTTTATTCCGGATATGGATGAAATTTATCAGCTTTGGGATGAAGTTCATCTGCTGAGATTTTATTGAGTGCAAACTTCATCTCGTGATGTATGAATTACATGTAAATAATTTGGCTGTTTTTGTTTTTATTATTTGGTTTTTGAGAAAAAAAAAACTTTATTTTTTTATTTTTTTACTTTTTAATCAGTGTAGGAATGCTATTTTAAATATTTTGGCATTTTCTTATGAATGCTCCCATAATCCTTTACAAATCACGCTTGGAAAATATGTTTGAAAGTCTTATTATTATTTAATTATTGCTATTGATATTTATTATTTTTGCGATATAATTGTTTGTAGAAAATGTTTAAAATAAGTTCCACCCTATTCTAATGGAAGCCTATTTTTTTCAAAAGAAGTATGCAAAGTTGCTTAAGTAGACAAAATCATTACCCTCACAATAATTCATTGCAATCTGAGAGGGTGCTGCCAAATTCATAGTCATGTTGGCGTGAAATTCGTCAATTTCAATTGTCATAAAAAAAAAACTTTCGAGCTGCGAATAAATTGAAATGAGATGGAATGGAGCTCATCGATGAAATTGACTTTTGATATTTGCCTGATTTCCGTTTTTTTGCATTATAGAACATTCGTATTTTGGTGCGTTGTAGGATATGGCGTTTCCGCTGTGTAGATTTGCGTGGTAGTTTTTTGTACCGATATAAACATATGTTAAAATCTTAAGGATAGTAATGTTTTGGCTACTGATCATGTTTATGACCATAAAAATGTATTCACTATTATCATCTCAAAACAGTGAAAAGGTTCATATAATCGAAAATGTACAATTAACAAAAAAAAACCCCATTGATTTTTTTAATGCTCTACGTCTACTTGCTCCTTAATTATAGTAATATTTGAATGAAGAACTTTAAAAGTGGGTAGTTACCTATAAATTTTATCATAATTTCCAACGCTACAAGAGAAAGCGTCTCTATCATAAGAAATCAACAAAATACCTGAGCAAAGCAATCCTCTGGCAAGAAGGAGTCTTGCTGAAGCCACCACCATAATGGTGGTGTCAGCACTGTAGCCTAGAGTTTTTATGCTATTATGTTTTTTGTGCATTAACGACAGGTAGGCGTTAAAAAATCTTATGTGAATAATCATTAATGAAACTTTTTCAATTTTTTCATGATTAGCTTGCTTTAATTCCTACATGTACGCGCTTGTTGAACATTTATCACGATTATTTTGCCGTGCAACAAATCAAACATCTATGTGGACGGAGCATAATTTCTCAATGTTTGCATCAGCTGTCTCAGATTAGCAGATAATCGAGCCAAAGAACCAACAACTTTGTCTTCAAGCAAAATGTTGGTGGATGACGTTTCTGCCACAGGAGTGGAGCTAAGTCCAGCATGAAAATCGAAATCAAATTTTGATATCAACATCGAACGGAAATCATAATTTGATTTCAGAATACGCGATTGACAAATTTGATATCAAAGTTTGTTTTAGTTTTGCTGTGCATTTGGTATTCAAAAATATGTTTGTTTTAATTGCCTTAGCAGAACATCAAATTGAATGCTTGTTTCGTTATCAATAGGAAAAATGTACATCAAATTGAGTTTTCAGTTTGCTCTCACTGATAGCAGAAATAGTTTTCAATGTGATGTCACAGGAAGATTTTTTTTGCTCTAAATTTTGATATTTGGACCGTTAAAACGACCAATACGACAACAACCTGATTATCAGCGATATCACAACATCAAATTGACCTCAGACTTTGCTCGGGTAATCAGTCAACTCACTCCATAACTTATTTACAGGGAATTTCATTGAGGGGCTGTTCTTGACTGGATAGAAATATATTCAATAAAAGAAAAACATGAGTATTTTTTTACGCAAGATGAATCTCTCAAAAAATTTTCCCGTTATTCATGGGTGGCCCCTTCGTTTTTTAGTTTCTAATTATCCATACATATCCTTAATGTTAAGGTAATGAAATGCAGCAAACTCAACACACCCGGCGCATGTCATGAAAATCGCCTTTGAAAATTAATTTCTTCGTGAGCTCTTGGATGGACAACTTATTTTTAGTATTTTTTTTTTGTATTCAGTTCCCTACAGTCGATACGAATGGATAATTATTTTTCCTAAAAACCATACGGGAGCGTCATGCTTTAATGTTTTGTCCACTTTATTGCAATAAAAACCAATAGTTGTGCTGCCGGTGAAACCTCATAGGAAACAGCATTAACGATGTTGACCAGCTACGACTTAAGTTGTTCCTATTATAGCACAACCTACGATAATAATACATAGTTTAGCGAAATTTACCTTCGGACGTAAGACCGTATCCTTTCAAATCGAAATTCTCGTAGCCCTGTTCGATAACTGTGCGGAGATGACTATCAATTGTAGATCTACTCAAACTCTTATCCACGTTAATCTCGAACGTTACGAACGTTTCGCGCTCATCGTCTGGGTTCGGTCTGTAAACAGAGAATGAGTGGTGAGAGAATTTTTCACAATTTTTGTCTCTGAGAGTGAGAGTGAGACCTTCTCTCCAGAGAAAATGCCATGCAAAATTGCATGCAATATATCAAGGCACTCGCGAGAGCAAGAGAGTAGTCTCGTTAAGAGTAAGTGTTTCTCTGAATATCAGTGCGGAATAACAATAATAAATGTACTCACTCTAGCTCCTGGACAGTGATTACAAAGTTGGCAGTGAAGTCGATATCACTTAGAAGGGCATGTAGCTTTCCGGCAACACCTCGCGCCACCTGTTTGAATTGATTGCTTTCCTTATTCTCAAACTCTGGGTCATAGGCCTCAAAAACCGTCAAGGTCAGTTTATCTAGAAAACAGAACCATGTAATGTAAACAACACCCTTCAGTTTGGTTAATCTGTTTCGTTTTGGTAGCTACTCACATGCATGATCGAATCCAAGCCCGTCCGGCATGCCGCCTGAGCCAGACATTCTGTCTTCATCATCATACGCAGATTCGTCGAACTGTCTCTTCGGTCGAAGTGCTTCATCACCTTGCCACCTTTTGTTCTTTTCGGAACGGGCCGATTTTCTCAGATTTTCACTTTTTCGTTTCTCACTTTTCTGGCTCTTCTTGTCACTCTTCTTGCTTGCATTTAAATCTCCGCTGCGTTCCTTTTTACTACCATTAAGTGGTTTCTTAGGATTCTTCTTCTGCTTGTTCTTCTTTGCTGGTTTGACGCTCTTTTCAGGCCCACTTAATAGATTATCAATGCTACGCTTGATTCTGTGTACACTTCGCACCAGCCAATTCTGACTTTCAGCTTCTGGCGCCGCCACTTCCTTCCCAGCCTCTTCGACGTCGTCATCGTCATCGCTGTCATCGTCTTCTGTATCGTCATCGGCGATCGCAACATTGTTGTTATCAAAGCCGCCCAGGTCGAAGAGACTATCCTCCTCGACGTTGTTGTTAGTGGTGCTGCGTTTGCTACCTGAGGAGTGCGATTGGCGCTCTTCACCGATAGCCTTATTGGACAGTGGCGACGAGATATCGTCAAACACTAAATCAACATCACGGTGGTGCTGTAGGGGGAAAAAAAAAAAGTGGGTTTAGCCATTTTGTAATTACAAGTGTACAAGTGTAGTATTCGCTTGAGGAAGTATTATGGTGAATTTTCACAGATCCTTTTCCGACATTACTGCCGTTCTACCCATAACTGTTCCATGTTCTATGCAATCCTTATGCACCGTGGGACTCTTATGCGTATAACGGCAGATTAGCTCTACTTTGCTATTAGACAATCCCAAATTTAAGTGTACACTCTTAAAATAAATCACATAGCCAGTAGAAATATCCAATGCCAATTTCACATCCCTTTCATGTGATATCATAATTAAATCACATGAACCTTATGTGTCCAATGAAATCAATATGATTGCTCACATATAATTTACCATGATACCCTACCTATCGACTCATCAACTTATGGATCGTAATCAGAGATTTTATGCCTCAGAAAATCCTGACGGCGCCGACTGGGATTGAACCCGGGCCTTTTGGAGTGAGGTCGTTTTATACTGGTTTTAATAAGTAACTTAGAGTGACCCCTGAAGAATTAGACATTTAAAATTAACTTTTTATGCATTGATTTCTCGCAACGGAACCATGCTGTTGTTTGTTTTATTTGCAAAATTATTAATGGTTATCGTGAAAAAACGCCCTTTTTAAAAGCTATTTAAATGAGTCAAACAATACGTCCATAAATTTTGCAAAATCGTACATGCACTTTGTTGTACGAGAATAATATTTTTGTAATTGCTAAGTTGATAAAGGAAGGTCATTCGTCAAAAACCGCAAAATATGGCACAGCCTTAAGTGATGAAACAAAATTGGCAGTCATAAATTTTATTGAAGATAGGATGATGATGATATAAGCCGAGCAATGCCTGGTCAAAACAGATTATGTGTCTGTGCAGAAAGAAGGAAAACGATAAGCCATTCAAAAAAGATTACTAATGATGACTTTGAGAGAAGCTTATAAACGATTCAATAAAATTCACTGCAATGTAAAAATTGGATTTTCTTCATTTGCAAAACTCCGCCCTAAGCAATGTAAACTTTTAACCAGCTCTGGAACCCACAATGTTTGCGTGTGCACAACGCATGAAAACATCAATCTAATTTTACACAGTTTGAAGAAACTTAACCATTTAAATGATGTAAAAACGTTAACTGACAGCCTACTTTGTGAAAACAAGACAACATATTGCTATCTACGGTGTTGTGAAGATTGTCCAGACTCTTCCGCATTAGAAAACATTTTATTGAAACAATTAGAGGAAAAATGCATTGATCAGCTTTCATTTGAACAGTGGGTTACCACGAAATAATTTGCAAGAAGGTGAATTTTTAGTTACTTGCGATTTTTCTGAAAACTACAGCTTTTTGTTACAGGATGAAGTTCAGTCTCATCACTGGAATGTCCAACAAGCTACCATTCATCCTTTTTTTATATTTTTTAGAGAAAATATGCAAGTTAACATTTAAGTTTTATTATAATTTCTGAAGAGTTAAGGCATGACTCAGTGGCTGTTAACTTATTTATTTCTAAAATGATAAGTTTTTTACGCATTAACCAAAGTAAAAATATCAACAAGATTTATTTTATGTCCGATGGAGCCGCGTCACAGTACAAGAACCGGAAAAATTTTGCTAGCCTTTGTAAATTTAAATCAAAGTATGGAATTGAAGCCGAATGGCATTTCTTTGCAACATCACATGGGAAAGGTCCTTGTGACGCTATTGGAGGTACAATAAACCGCATGGCTACTAGAGCAAGTTTGGCCAAAGAACGTGAACATCCAATAAAAAAATGCAAGAGAGCTTTATAATTGGGCAAATAATCGAAAAGAAGAAGAATTAACAAAATTATCATTTAGTTTTGCCACAACAGAGGAATACGAAAGTATGGCTTCACACCTCAACGAGCAATATAATAATGCAAAAATAATTCAAGGAACTCAAAAGTTTCATTCTTTCATTCCTGTTTCAGAAAATAAAATTAAAGCCAAACGTTACTCAAACTGTAATGATAATGATGCCAAAATATTCGATGTATTTAAGAAGTGATGTAAATAAAAATAGAAAGTAAGTGTATTACAATGAAAATAAATTATATATCATCTGTCCATAAGGTTTCCGAATAAAAAAAAAGTAAAAAAGAGCAGAAAAATGTATTTTGAGGATTTAAGTTGAAATTTGAAAATAAAAAAGTAGTCCGGATTCGCTATTACAAATTGTAATAGCGAACCCCGACTACTTTTCCAATAGGGCCTGTGTAGAAAAGCGTTTATAAAATAAACATTTTAATACATTGCAAAAATGGCTTGCTTGAATGCTATGGTGTCTTCGGGAAAGTTGTGCAAAATTAAAATGAGATTCTTGAAAAAATATACACGGTTAAAAAATATGTGTTTTTAATGAAAATGTAAAAATCGTGAAATTTTCAAAACACAATAACTTTTTTGTTTTTGAGTTTACCATCACCAAACTTTGCCAGTTTGTAGCAAACATTATGAGCTTCAATGAGGCTTAAAACTGCACTTTTTGAGAAATTAACTGTTTTAATAATAAATATAATTTTTTTCATTGATGCAAACGAATTTTTTTACAGTGTATATTTTTTACACAATTGCCAAAACAATATCTACAACTTTGCTGAAGACACCAAATCAATCGAACAAAGCGTTTCGGCAATATATATTTTTAAACTCATTAGTACTATTTTACACATGCCCTTTTCAAAAAGTAGTCGTGATTTAATATGAAAAACTGAGTGCACAAAATGGCGCCTTTACTAAAAAGGAACAACTGTGCAAAGCTTCAGCGTAATTGGAAATGATCGGTCAGGATCGATTTGCGTACCTTCGTGGAATGTCTCAATTTGGAGGGGTGGGCTTTTATTTGCGAGATATCGACGGCTACAGCCATTGTTTGCAAAAACAATTACGCCCCTTTGAAATGTTGGCACTGAAATGCATTTTGCTCTAAATGTGATTTAAAATTTGGTAACAATATCTTTTTTATTATTTTTTCTATGATGCTAACGGGTGTTCAATAAAAAAAGAGAATTTTTTCAGTCATATAGCTAGTAAAAAAATTTTTTTTTCAAGGAATTCAGTATTTTTTATTAAAAACAACTTAATCGCGATGCTTTCACAAGAGCACTGGACGGCACTGAAATCATTCCCATTTTTTATTGAGCACCCGTTAATTAACAGAAATTTATACATGTCCAAAAAAGGATCAAAACATGTGAATGAAAGTGTGTGCTCGTTTTATAAACTGAACAGTCTTATATCCGGAAAGTATAATTGATTTGTTGCTAGTGGCAGTTTATGTAAGCCGGGTAAATTTTCAAAAGAACTGCAATATGTTGAAATACAATTATGTTTTATGTAATTTGAGTGGGGATCGTCATTAATAATTGTTGGAAAAATGGTTATCAAAATCGCAGAGCAGCTAATCGCTTATTTCAAACACAACATCATCATCGTTAACCCTTCTCAGTTCATTAAGTGGGGAAAAGTTATGCATCGGTTGAACACTCACAGAGAAAAATCACTTCAATGTGACATTTTCCAGTCATGTAACGAATGTTTTGGCTGCTTCTGTCTGGATATTGTGCGATATAAATGTGTCAAACCGTAGACCCTCTTAAGAGTGCGATTCAACAAGAAGCAAATAAAAGGGACACTCAGAAAGAGGTAGTGTCAACCCGTGAGGAAAATCACATTCTGGCTATTCTTTACTCCACCAAATACTAGTACTTACAGAATGAGGGCAAAATATGGAGGTTTGCGGAATGAACCAATGTGATCAAGGCAAAATGAGCGGCAATATGCTCTGCTGAAGCACCGCACTATGGAAGGTTTGGCAACCACACGTAAAAAAATACAGATTAGGATAATTATCTGAATATTTTTGATTTGTAGTAGATTTGTCTTTTTATATTTTAAAATATTTCAGAGAGAGTCACGCAGATCAAAGCGTGACTGCCACTTGACTTTATGAGGTAATTATAATTAGCCATTGGATCCGGCCCATCTGTTGATAGAATAAGTTTCTACAGTCAATTAATGCAATAGCCTAATAGCCTAATAATGAATTATGTCATTAAGTTTTTTCCAGTTAATTTTCACAAGATTTTGATTTAAGCAATAGTCACATTTGCACAGTGTGTGTGTCCGTTTCTGGAGGAAACTGTGAAAAATCTTGTCTACCTTTTTTTTCTCTTCCACTGACTTTCTGCTGCACCCTTCAGGTCGTACATGTAATGCTAGGCAAGGAAGACAAAAAAAAAACAACAAGACCACTGGTAAGACAAGTGAGATGGTGATCACCAGCCAGGAAAACCGTGATGATGAGCGGTTGAAATTGCCGTCGCGTGCGCTGAATATTTGATTAAACTTCAGCTAGGGTTTATTACTCTGTATTGGTGGAACTGAGAAGTTTTGTGAAAATAATATTGCGCATTCCCGATTAAAGTTTGATACGATATAGCTCAAAAGCTCTAGTTTAAATAAAAATTGTGGCTTTATGATTTGATTATGTATTTATTTGTTTGAATACCTTGGCCAGCATGAATGAAAATTGTGTTTCTATAGTTGCTTTGGTTGCAAATATTGGTTTCTATCAAACCCATCAGATTTCAGTACCACAACTATAGATGTAAAGTAGCCAAGATCATAAGAAACATTTTTTTTTTCATTTTGAGCTTATTTCAAGGTCTATTTTATTGGAGTATTATTGTTCTGACTTTCCATCATTATTCGGGAAAAACTAAAGCACCTACCCTACTTATACACGATGTACTGTTTCGGGCTTGAATGGAACGACGAAAACCTACGTACATAAGTATAGATGGAGCTTTTTCGCTTCCCGTCTCCGGAATCGAATGGGTATGAATGTACGAAATCGTGTGAGAAGAGGTGTGAAACGATCTGTATATGTTTGAACTTAAGTGGAGTTGGTTTTGCGGTAGACGTGTCGTGTGGCTTATTTCCTGTCTCTTTGAGTGACT